TGGAATACCACATGCTTATGAGAAAACCTGTGACCTGCAGAAAACGAACACTTGGTCTACATAGGACAGCTCTTAAGTGACTGAGAAACCTGAAATGGCAATGAGTAAGAGTCAAAAGTGTATTTTTGCCTGTAAGAAGTTTCCATTACTAGTTTGAAACAGATCAAACATCATAGACATGACAGATAAAAAAGCCAGTGACCTTATAATGCTATTTAGGCAATATATATGCGAAAAAAGAAAGTCCCCAAGTCAGGCTGGGACTGTAAGAACACTGACACAAATATTTACACTAAATTGGCTATGAAGTAGATGAGTATCAACAAGCAGCATCATTTTAATAAAAGCCATTCCAAAGCCCAACAGCCAAAAAAACTGTAGTAATGGACAACCCACCTCAACAAGCATGTTTAGGAGCACCAGCATAGTTACCACTGCTATGACAAAGAAAAACAGCAGCAATTGTGTTAGTCCGCTCCTGCGGATCTGAACCAACACTGGCAACTACTTTCAAAGGTAAATGTATCCGAGTATGCAACAATAGACCCTGCTCTGGATACAGAATTATTAGTTTTCCCCATTGACTCTTCTAGTGCTTATTATTTCAATATCCAAGTAAGTCGTAAGAAGTCCTACGGATGACAGCATGATACTCTATCCATTTTACAGAAGAAAACATGAACCAGATAAATTAAGGACAAATACACATTCTAACACTGCATTCAACTGCCTCAACAATTAGACCAACTTTTCACCTTCTTTTGTTATTTACAATTACTATGTTAACCATACAATTATATGCAGTAGCTACAACAAATCAAGACGTTTTGCAGATAACACCATTTCCTTTTTACCAGACAATTTTAATCCATACCCCAAGCAAATCCATCTTGCAGAATGGATTGCAGAGCAGCCCTGGGGAACCAGCACTGTGAAGACAAACTCTGAAAAGCTTGCAAAACAGATGGGGGAGGTTTTTATAGAGAACTCCTTGATGCTACTTTCAATATGATTTGGGTTTCTGACTCTGTGGTTTTGTGGTGAGTTGTGTATGCAACCTTCCAGATTTAAACTCTGAGAAAACAAAAAAATACAATCTAGAGAGGCACAACCCTAGTTGCCATTATAGCACTCTCGGCAAAGCAGCTTGCAGCAGTTTTCCTGGAACCCTAAATTCATTCGTTTTGTCACTTGTGCATGCAGAATAACATGTGAAAACAATGAAGAAAACAGTGTCCTTTATATGTGAACCAATAAGCACCGAGTATCAGAGGCTGATCATAAAGAAGCCGTACTTTTCACATCTGTAACTTGAAAAAGTTTGGCTAAGCTTTTGAATTATGGAAGAAGTTGGATCTGATGATTTGTTACATATTCAAACTTTCTCTCTCTTCCCCCAGCTGTTCCAAAGGAATGTGTTCATGTTGAAAAGGATGGAGGGAAGATCAGAATTATCCAATTCTGACCAGATTTCAAAATACTGAAACAACTAAACTGACCAAAGTTTAATAACATTAAAAGAAAGCCTGAGGCACAGAATGTTTTAGTCCAACTAGATAGCCTCAAAAAGTTACTAGCAACTGAAAATAGGATCTTGCAATGAGAAGTGCTATGCAACCCTTGCAGCATGCTGGCTTCATTTTCTATTAGAACTCCTATGCAATTCAAATATTAAGATGAAAAAAAACCACAAAAACCAAAACCCACAACTTGAGAGCCTTATAGTTAGTTCTCCAGAAGTAAAGCAGAACTTGAGAAAGAGACATGCTAACACAGACTAGGAATAATATTTCAAAGTTTTAATCAAGTTCATTCCTGCTAAGGACAACAAGTGTGCATTGACACAGAGATCATCACTGCCTGGACACACAGAGCTGACCAAAGACCACCTTGGTGAAATATCCTGTTGACAAAAAGACATTACTGACATTTCACACAGGTCACCAAACAGCTTTTGGATGGGCAGAGCTTTTAGCCTTCCTGTACCAGCAATTAAAAAAACAACGTGACCTTTCTTCTTAATGAAGTTAACTATTCCATCAATATTCTGCCCTATGCACAAGCCACAGTGACCATGCCAAAGCTCACCCCACCCGTCTACCATTAAGCACAGTAACTGGTACATCAGTGCCAGCCACCTTCCAAAGATCCACGTGCTCAGGAGCCAGGACCTCAAGACAGAAGTGGCTGCAGAAACCACTTTCAGTTACCCACGAGTTCACTGCAAAGCCCGCTGAACCGCACACCAGATCTCACACTCCCGCTCATGGCAACGCACAGCAAAGCGCCATCGCTCAGGCCCTAAACCATCTTTTGCACAGTTTCAACCCGCGCCCCGCTTCAGTGGTTCAAATACTGCCCGAAACAAAGACTTTATTCTTCAGCACCGGGGCAGGGAGCGGGGCAGACGCGGCCCCGCTGCACCCGTCCAGCACCGTCACGGGGAAGTTGCCCAACGCTCGCGAACTTCTCCGCCCATAGCGGGAGGCTCGCACAGCTCAAACAGCAGCCCGCAGACAGGAATGCCGCTGCTAGGGACACGGCAGCCGCCTGACCGCCCGGCAGCCGGACGGGGCCGAGAGGAACGGGCACGGAGCGCCGGCCCCGCGCTGCCCCGCTCCCGGGCGCGCCCACCGAGGCCCCCCGCTACACCTCACACCTCACGCCTCACTTGAGGCCGAACCTCAGCCCCGCTCCCCCATCCCGCCGCCACGCCAGACAGCGGCGGGCCCGCAGGAAACCCCCGCCCTGAGGGGAGACCCGCCCCGGCCCTGCAGGGCAGGCTCCGCCCGCGCTCGGCGGAGGGGCAGCGCGGCGGTCCGGCGGCCGCAGGCCTCACCTCCTCGCCGGGCAGCCCGAGCACCTCAACCGGAGAAGCCGCCATGGCCGAGCTGCGCGCTCACCCCGCCGCCGTGTTTACCCGCCGCCGCCGCGCGCCCCGCCGCCGCCCCGCCCACGGCCCCGCCCACAGCCCGCCGCGCGCGCCCGCGGCGGCCGCCCCTTGGCACAGCGAGCGCGGGCGCGCGCCCCCCCCCTCCGCCTCGTCTGAATGGCTCAGAAGCCCGCGCCCCCGCCCACCCGGGAGCCGGCCGCGTCCTCTGATTGGCTCCCGATCCGCGCCCCGCCCGGAGACACGCGCGGCGCGGGCAACCGCCCTCAGGTCTGCCGCTCCTGAGGGAGCCCGGCCGTGGGGCGCGGGTGCGCGGCGGAGCGCCTCAGGTGGGCAGTGGCGAGGGGGAGCTCGGTTTAAAGAACGTCTTCCGTGAGGTTTGATCTGTCGGGGTTTTCCCGCTTCTCTGCGGGCCGGGCGCAGGCTGCCAGGGAACCCTCTGGAATTGCGAGCGTTCGGGGAAACTGAGGGGAGAAGGTAACCATTGTCAGCGCGCAGGAAGGACCTTGCCGGCCAGGACAAGGTAGTGCTGCCTGGCAGGGTACGGGAGGAGGAAGGAAATCCTTGCCGTGCAAGGAGCTGACCTGACATAACACCCGAGCAGGGAGAACGCCGGAGGACAGGAAAAGATAAACGCTAAGAGCCTTGTCTGAAACCGAAGCAACAGCTTTGTAAAGACTGCCTGTTTTCCCTAAAGAAAAGTCTGCTCTCCTCTCGCAGCTCAGGCTTCCAAGAGGTGCAGCAACTGGCCCTCATTCCATGGCAGTGCTGTAGATGGCGTGAATTCACACCACCTTCGACAGCTGCCCGGGAATCGCTCAGGAGTCCCTCCCAGAGGACAACAGGAAGAGCTGTGCTAAAAAATTATCAGTAAAGCACTGGTTTAGGCCGAGCTTTGTAGACATAAGCCTTAGTACAAGCCGGAGCCAAACTCCTTCAGGCACTGCACAGTCTGCAAGGACAGAAAGTGCCTTCATCTTAGGACGAGCATGTGGCAAATCGTGTGTGCCACTAGCAACCAACAAACGTAGCAGCGCCCGTGCTGTCAGGGAACTGTTGTCTTTTGTCATCCTTCAGCTCATCGCACCTAGCCCCCCACGACCTGGGTGGCCTACTGCTCTCCTCATCCAGTGAGAAACTCTGCCCTTTCCAAAGCAAACACAGACCCAGGCTCAGCTCTTTGGACTGTGCCCCAAGCAGGTCACAAAACACCAGGTAACTAACACCTCCGCAGCGGGGCTCAGGCAGGCCTGTGTCCGTTACCACACACACGTGGGCTCTACTCCCAGGGCTAACAGGATGTTCTGGGGAAAGGCAATCTCAACAGCAACATCAGTCTGTGCATGTTGCAAAATCACTGTAGGGTATTATTACCTATGAAAGACCAAGTGTCTGAGAAACAGACAAAGCGGCATCCAGGCAAATGTCTTCGTAGTCATGACTGTTGGTGAATATGAGATTGTAGAAACATGGGGAAATGATGTCTTTTATCAGACGAACTGATAAAAAACATCCACATAAGCTTTGGGGTAATTCAAAAGAAACAACCCCGTCCTCTTTCTGGATCAAGCCTCTCGATACCCAGTGTTTCTCTCGAGCTCTCTTCCTTCAGCCTTGCCTAACAACACTCTCAGCACAACTTTAGAGGCTTATCCCAGTGTAAGTGGGAAGGTTCCTGGGTGACAGCCAAGCCAAGAAGACCTAAGTTACAGCAGGCATGATTTGCAGGTCCAGTTACTTTGTGAAGCACTTATTTCTGGGATTGAGACTAATGTTGATTAGTAAATTGTTCTTCCAGCTTGCTAGAAAAAGCATGTGGGTTTCTGGCCATGAAGCATGAATGCCTGGGTTTGCAGTGCTGCCTCTTACACTCTGCTAGGGTGTACAAAGCAAGCATGTCTGAGAAAACATCAGAACCCAAAAAGCTTAGGGTTTTTTGCTGGGGGGGGAATTGTTTTTTGTTTTGGGGGGTTATTTGTTTATTATTGTTGTTGTGGTTTTGTTTGGGTTTCTTTTAAGTTGTTTTGGTTAGTCTAATGAAAAATACTGGTTTATTTCTCCCTACAAGTCTCCCACTCCAACATTACTGTCACTTGCCTGAACTCTGCTCGCCTGTTTTTCTGCATTTTCAGCCTCAGCTTTTCAGTACACTAGAAGGCTGTGAGAAGAAGCACTCTCAAGCATCTTGAAGTCCTGTTTAACAAAGGTCTTGTTTGTGAATATTTTGTTAGCGCATTACTTAATGGGCTGTTTTGTAAGACATCAAACCTCAAAGATTACATTCTGAGGCACATGCCATTTCAGTAACTTTGAAATAATGCCCTTTTGAAATTTAAAATTTGAAGGGGCATGAGCACACTCAATTTCTTCTATCAATCACATTTTTTAAGTAGCAGAGTGTAACACAGCACTGATTCATTTTTTGTGTGGGAAGACCACTGATTGGCCAAGAGTTACAACACAGTCAAATCCCAGATCCATAAGTAGATGACCTGTTATCAACAAGGCTTGTGTTTCTGGGTTTGTTACCCAGAGGCATCTGTATGCTAAGATAAGGTCTACGTGCATTTTCAGTGGGATCAAATTATCTTCAATATTCCAGGAAGATACCTAGCAGTTCACTCAAAACAGAAGGATTTTAAATTATTCTTTTACTTAAAAACAGGGGGAAATAAACCACAGTTTATTGTTAACAACCATTCAGTTATTATGTAAGATGTATATCTCCAGCATTTAATATTTCATGGTCTTACGCAATTACAAACTAATAGTGGAAGAGAGCTCTTCTGAGAGCTCTTCCTCTTTCTGCAAATAATTGATTCTCAGTTGCAAAGAATAACCTGCATTTGGATCATCTGAGTGCATTGGAACACTTTAACTGTATATAAAGACCATTAAAAACATATTAATGTTTTATCTCATTACTCCATCCCAATAGTGAGTTCTCATCTGGTAATGAAGCAGCTTGACTTCTCCTGTCATCTAAATTAACCCTCAGTCCCATGAAAGATCAAAAAATTACAAACCTTAAAAATATTTTCCATCTCTTAGCTCATGGTGTGCAGCCTGATTGACTCCATTTGTGGTTGGAATTTTATATATATTTACAATACTTGGTTTGCATCTTTCTTCAGCACAAAAGCTTTTATAAGCTGAAGAGAATCCATATATTATAATATTGAACGGCTTTGAAAAAATAGAGCAGAGTTCTTAAAGGAGGAAGTCATGTAGGGAAAGGAGACTTGTTTCAGAAATCCAAAGGGTTATCATACTAAAATAATCTTTATTTTAAGAATGCATGTTAACTATAATAATGGCTAAATTACAAAAGCTAGGACGTCAAGTGACATCAAAGTATGATTTATCTTTTAAATACAGGATAAACTTTGGCTACAGAGGATTTTAAATCAAATTGGATACATTTAAACCAAAGGAATCAGAAATTAAACAAAAAAATCTGGATGCAAATGACACAAACAGATTTCTGCCCTATTGTCTTTCGTTCTACAGAGTCATATAGAAAATGTTATGATGAACCACTCACAACATCACAGTGGTAAATCACAGGTAAATGGTAAGCTACATGCAAGAGGGAATTAATAGAAAAGAATTATATTGCTAGTGAGTCATTGGTATGACTAAGAGCAGTAAATACCTATCGATAGTCTACTGATCTCAATTTCTCTATCACGGCAATGACTCACTGATGAGACTCATGCCAGAGATATAGTTAAGAGCCCAAGATTTGGCTCTACAGTTACGTGCAAATACGTGCTAGATCCTGGCTCTTAGTACTGGATTTCAAACACCAACATAATAAGATGCAAAACTGATAGAAAGATAAAATTCAAATTTCATAAGCAAGAGCTTTATTCTGGTAAAACTAAAGACTAAAGCCCAGACTGACTGTTGGCTCTGCATTGCACTGCAACTAAACTGCCGTCAGCTCATGCTCAGGTTTTTGCCAGCCCGTTACTGCACCTTTTCATTCTCAGTTCTCCATAGTCACTGGTTCTGTTTTCCTCAACTTTTTTCCGTTCCCTTAAAAGCAGCATATCTTCTGTCTGGACACGTGTTGCTTTCTGTGGTACCTGGTGCCAAGGTACTGCCTTCAGCTGTCTGAAATCCTGCAGCCTTCCGTGTCCCTGCGAGTTGACAGTCAAGGTGTGACCATTGCCTAGGGACAGACCTGAGGTGAAACAGAAATTCTCCCCTTGAGTAGATCTTTTCCAGGGCAGCCACCAGACAAAATGTGACACTGCTCTCGAAGCGTGGGTCTGTGCTCCCAAGGCACTAACATCAGCTCCCTCCGCTCCCCCCACAGAGATTCCTGTCCCCCAGGCAAGCTGCTGAAACCTCCAGCTCTCACAGGGGGAGGCTGTGAGAAGGGGAAGATGTAATAAATGTTTTTCCTAATTTCTGTGACTAGGATAACAGTTTACAAGCAATTGTTTTTGAAATCTCTCTGCCCTGATGAGCAAACCTGAATTGTAAGAAGAGCAACTGTGGTGGAGGTGGAAAGTCACACTCATTTTGTGCATATGCATTTGAATGAAGTGGTAAACACTTGTCTGAATCACCACCACTCAGATGTCATCTTTCTCTCCCTATTTTCAGCATGAAGGGGAGGAGAGCAGCCAGAACAGGAACCCGAAGGTGCTGAGCTCCAGTCAACTGCTGTCATGCTGTTCCCAGCTTAATTCACCACCAGTGATCCCATGGTTAATAGAGTCATTGTGGATACTTCTGCTAACAACTCAAACCCATCACAATGTTACAGAAGCAAGATCCTCCCAGGGATGATGTATTTGGGCTTTTCTCCTCTAAATACCTTGAGATTGTCATTCTCCATATGTGTATACATATGCTGTACGCTGTTTGTCACTGGTGAAAACATCGCTAAACCCAGAGGAAGCTACTGTTCTGATTCGGGACATGACTGAACAGGACTCAATGCACTTCCATCTTTGTGCTTATTCTCACACAAGATGCTCCTGCTCATACTGTTTCTCCCTTATTGTATTAGGAAAATGGAATAGTAAATAATTGCTGTTATAAGTTTGTTTTAATTACTTCTGAGAGCTTTTTAGTGTTCAAAGTACAGACTTTTAATGTGTTGTCCTTGGACCACTGATTGGCTTCCAATGAACTTTAAAGTGTTGTCGCTGGGAATTACTTACTAATAAGGCAAAGTCGACATGATAGCACACCATCCAAGAAGTGTACACACATCTTCAGGTCTGGCTGGCATATAAACTAATCCCATAAGAAAGTACTTCTAAAACCAGGATGATTGGACTGATAAAGATGTAGGGCTTTGTGCATGCTGTAAAAGCATACCTATTAGTGAGAGGACTGTTACCTCTGCCAAAAGGAGATGCAAATATCCACCTGAATTATATAGCTACCTTTTACAGATGTTATTTACTTAAAAAAAAAGCAACTTCAGGTAATTCCTAAAGCAGTAAAATAATTCTAAGGTTATGTGCAGCTTAAACAGGGCTTCAGCAATTCCTTATTTGTAAGCACTGAAGTCACACACCTGATGAGTGAAGTCATTTTGCTCTTGCAGAGACAGCCATTTTAAGTCCCACCATTAGATATGCTTTCCACAAGTACTCCTTGGCAGAGCAGAGTTTAGTTATGCCACTGGCACAAGAACCTAAAGCGGTGCCTTTTGGACACAGGCACTTCGTCTCCCCTCTCATCCATCCATACATAGCAGGAGAGATCGTTCTGATTTTTCAAAGCAATTTGAAATAGAATCAAGGAGCATTTTGTTCCAGTCAGAAATAATCATTGCTTATACATCATTTTTTAAACACCGCATTTCAAAATGCCTGTTCTTGTCTCAGAGCAAGGAGGAATTGGGCTTGATCTCTCTGGGAAATGATTATCAGAGTCCTTGGAACAAGTGTCCTTTTGAAGTACTGATATGATGCAGGCAAATTGAACACTTGGGTATTTTTGACAGAGAAAGGAGATGAATGAGTCCTAATCAGTTAGTTTATAATTATGTAGCTGTGTTTTCCCATCCATACTGAAAACCAGAGATCGGTATTTGAGAAGAGAGAGCCCAATAGCTCTCTAACATAAGCGAGCTGAGAAGCACAGTTTTTTACTGATGGATAGGTCAGCTACCCAAGCAAGGCTACAGGGGCCACTTCTTTTGATTCCTATTAGCCACCCTCCTCTACAGAGCACTCACAAAACCTGAGGCTACAAATGGACTCAGCTCCAGCAGCTGCCAGGTAAGACCTTGTTCAATTTAGTCTTCACAAAAAAACACTAACAACAAGCTAGTAACTGGATACCAGGCTATCAGCTCCTGAATACATGGAAATCTATTTTCAGTTTCCTACACATCTTTTTTCCTGCCTTTAAGAGACATGAAGGCTCACGGTATTTGAAACAGCAGCTTGAGATCCACTCAAAATTTTATTCTAATAGGCATCATCTAATTAGGAAGTATGAATAGGCAAAGTTCCAATGATACACAACCTATGATCCACATAAAAGCAGTTTATGTAAAAAGGAAGCTGACAACAGAGGAAAGATGAGCCACAGGGATAAAAATGGACCTTTTTGATGATTTCAGAGCTGAGGCATTACCAGATATAGAAAACGGGTAGGCAGGCCCAGGAAGAACAGACTCAGGAGGAGCCACGACAAAGCCATAGGAGAATAGGCATGCAAATGTTCCAAGGCAACACATCTGAGTATTTGCATCACTAGCAGGGCATCTCCTACGGATTCAAATCAGATAGCAGAAACATTGTGACCTATCAGGAACTATAATCACTTGTTTATATATTCCACATTGTATCAAGGTAGTCTTTCATTTTGGATATTTAAACACTGCAATCTGCAGAATGAAACTGCTGCCGTTTTAGCACTGTGTGTTTTCTAAATGAGTATCTGCATGTCCTCAGTTCGCTTTTGTCGTGATTGCTTAGTTTATATTTTAACCCGTTTTGTATTTTTAACAAGTTGAGCAGGAAAAGCAAAAGAGACTAGAACATGTGCAATTTCATTAGGTAATGTTAATTATGCTCTAGGAGGTGCTGGTTTCTTATGATAACAGTAACAAAGGCACTTAGATTCTGTGAAGTATTGCTTAAAATGCCATTTGTTCTAGACTGAGCACTGTAAGCACAGAGAGGGCAGTATAAATTAGTCTTAAATGCCTTCAGATCCCTGAGCTATGCAGCACTGAACAGGCCTCTGATCCACATGCAGATCTTTCCTGTGGAAGGGTCACCCCATTTGGATCACTTGAGCTACTCTAGGATTTTCTTACAAGCAAACAGCTCTGTTTACCATTTCTTCTGTCAGGCAGAAGGATGTTCACATGAGAACATCTCGCTGACTTTCCAAGGTAAGGACACACAGATGGTGGGAGCTGCCTGCAGGCTCCTCTCCTGTGGTCACCTGGCCAAGTTTACCCTGCAGGCAGCACATATGCACACGCCTGGGCATATTTAGGTTAATTGTTAACTGTTACGTAGATCACTAACTCCTCAATGTGTAATGCTGTTCTGGTCTGGGTGAATACAGGTAACTATTAGGAATGCTAAGTTTCTAGGTTTTATTGCACTCCCTTACATACATTTCTCAGGAACACCTAAAGTGTACAGTAAGGTCACTGCTCATCTCTTAAGTTTGGAGTTGTCTTCCAGAGTATATGTTTCTTGTGCTTTCTCTCCTTATCCAGTCTTAACACTTGCCATTTGTAAGAGGGGGATGAAGGCAGCAAGACTGGTTATCTCTGACTTACACAACAGAGGCAGCCCAGATAATTAAAGTTTGCTAATGAATGTGACGATCATCAAATATTATGCTTTAACTTTACCAGAGTGAGAGCAGCCATGCTGCACAATCAGATCCAGCTGGGTTTACTCAACCCTCCTGCGTTAATACACATGCTGGAAAGTGAGGTTCTCAGGAAGCTCCAGAGGTCAATTAGGCAATACCTCACCCCAGGCTCTGAGCTGAGCACTGAGTTCAGGCTGAGCTCCTCCTACCTCCTAGTCCTAGGAGAGCAGCATTCACAGCAGCAATTTATTCTGTGACCACCTCATAATGCAGGGCATCTTTGTCTGGAGAAGACGGTGGCATCAAGTGCCACAGACACTGTAAAGACTACACGAACCAGTCCTTAAGACCCTAGAGGAAGAATTCTGTTTTCCAGAATACCAGCTGCATTCACACACACAGATTTGTATTTCTGGAGATGTTCAGATTTTACTCTGGAGGTCTTTATTAAACATATCAACATGTACTCATTTTGAAAGCTCCTGACTTCAACATTTCAAGGTAATTTTGATTTTGTGTTTAGTTCTGATGTTTCCACCTTCCTAAGTAAGTCTTTGCTGTTGGGCCATTTCCATTCACAGCTACAGATTTGCTTGCTCTTATGACCCTTTTTATTAAAAGCAAATCTTTCTGGTCTGCAGCTGAGATGTTCTGATTAAAACACATTATTACCTCAGATTAACTACCAATTTCTAAAATAGCCTTTTATATCTCCTGCATTACGTTGCATCTCATTCCTTACCAATCTTAGTGTTTTTTTATGACTGCGGAACATAGAGAAAGCGTGTCCATGAATAGTTCACCGAGAACTCCTTTTAGAGCATGTTAATTTAGGATCCAACAAGATACATTAACTGCATTCCCTCCAATCTCATGTTAAAAATGATCTTTTGGATGCTCTTTCGTTCATGTTGACTCCTTTATGTCTTCCTGATGATTCTTTTTCTTTCTTGACAAACCCAAGTGATTTTGTGCCACCATCAAATCTTGCCACCTGCCAGCTCATCTCAGCACTCTGGAGTTGAGGATGGAGTCTGTTAACAACCAGGGCTATCTTTTTGGCATGAAAACCTGAATATTTATCCTCACCCTTATTTTCGCACAGCCAATTTCCATTTCCATTGTGGTCACATAGCTGGGAACACTGCTGGGTTTATGTATGATTCTACAACCCAAACAAAGGACTCCATAGACCAGAACAGTGTATGTTCCCCTTTATGGCAGCAAGTCAAGCTGCACTGTAATACTATCTTGTAAGAGTGCTTTACTAGAACTGAAAAGCAAACCCAGCCATGCAGCACCACTGTGGATGGCTGTACCACAGCAGCAGCCACCACCCAGACATGAAATGGACACTCTGACCAGCAGCCACCAGGCTGTCCGCAGCACAGAGCTGCACATGATGGCAGCTCTGACCTGCACAACTTTCACCACCATGCTCTGAAGCACAGCCTGCGCCAAAATGCTATTTTAATGTTTGATGGCAAACCTGTCAGTTCAGGTTCAGCTGTAAGCTGCAGCTTTTTATCCCTCAAGCGTCACGGTATCACCACACAAGCACTTACCACTTAAAAGGGCTACCTACAGAAAAGGAATATGAAGTAATTGGTCAGGAACCCATTAGCACCAACTCTTAAGAGATTACTCTGAGAGCACAGACTGACAGCAGCACCCCAGCTAGGAAGATTCACCTTCGTGTTCAGCTTTTAAGTGTACAACCGGGCTCAGCAACTGCAGTTTAAGTCAGTACAACTGGGCAGCTATGATCCATCTTCAACACAACCTACAAAGCCATGTATTTTAGGGCAACCTTAATGCACGTTTTCCATGTAAAGAAAAAACTCCAGAAGTCATTTTAATATAAAATGTTTTTATTGTTTTTGAAAACATTTAAAAAACAATTTTTGAGCACTTTCAATAAAAAAAATAACTGAAATGCTACTGCAATATTCAACTACTGTAGTTTCAGCAGTACAACAGACAATAAAACACTGAGGAAGAGGGGAGAAATTGGATTTCCTGCACTAAATGAAAACGTGGAACAGGGATTTTAGTTTCCTTACGGTGCAGTAAATAAAGCACAGTATAGTACAAGACTATTATATGAACCTCAGATGCACTGCACAAGAAACGCTTTCCTTCTTTTCAGTTCAGAAGTCAGTGCTTATTGCAATTATTTGCAAATTATTTACTTCATGAATTCTTATCATGATAAAATGATGCAAAAATGTTTTTTCAACACCAGAACAATAAA